TGGGAACACTGTGGGAACACTATGGGAACACTGTGGGAACACTGTGGGAACACTATACCTGACAATTCTGCACTGGGCTCAGAATCGTAGTTTGTATAATCATACAAATATAAGTTCATATATATTTTATTTTGAGATTTTTCAAACATTGTTACAACTCCAGCATGTAAGCTTTCTCAGTGCTGCACAGCATGCTCATATTTCCATAACATATTTTGGTTTAAAGAACAGCATGAATGCTCTATCTCACTAAAAAGAATAGTTTCATACATATCTGGTAATTTGTGTCATTATAAACGTGGTTATGGTGATTATGGCCCCAACAGTGCTCGCTGGCACCTTCAGTCCTTTCTTCTTTAACCAACGCCATCAGTATGTTTTGCAGCAGTGAGGCTGCAGAGGTCTTGAGATCATGAGATGTTCCTTGTGTGACACCTTTTATATGTGTTGTTGTATCACATTTACAAATATATTTACTTAGAAAACTGGTAACATTTTAATACTTATTTTAGCTGCTATATCAAATTAAGACTAGCTCTAATTAAAAAAACTTTTATTCTTTTTGTTTTTTATTGTTTTCTGGAAGTTACATGAAAGTTCATTTGCAATGACAGAGCCAACAGGTAATGTTGAGGGTAGAAAGGTTAAACTGTAGAGAAACACACAGCATGAAATGCCACAGACAGGAAGATGTAATTTGTCTGAAAATTTACGTCTAACAGTTTCACTCATAATTTTATTTCAATAACAAAGACAAAAGCGAAGGACCAAGAAAGTTAGAAACTGTCTCTTAACCATAACTCTCTGTCAAATACTCAGTAATATTGTGTGCGCACGAACCCACAGTCTCTGAAATACGTGATGATCACAGACAGTAAGTGTACTGTCAAACAGTCATATTAGGAAAGGCTTATTAAAACTCATAATTCACTTATTTGAATTGTGAAATCTCAATGAAAGAAATGTCAGGGAAGGGCAAGCGTCACATTGGTGCTTTTATGGCCCTATATTTGGAGGATATATATCGGATTAAAGCTTTAGTGGAAAATTCAAATCGAGGGTTTTTCAAAATGAGAGGAGTTCTTCTGTAGCTACATTTCTGGACAAACTTTGCAGAACAATGGTGTTTGACACACTCCACCATCCATATAAATACTTGGTGTAATATCTGATTCACTCTGATTGACATGTAAACGCTATTTCACATCCCTGTTTCTTTCATTAAGCAACACTAAACTGTGAGCTCGAGTTTCCTTGGCTGAACCGGAGAAAATTGTGCATATATTTCTGATATCGTGCACAGATGACTGTGACGCTCCACTCAGCCACTTCTCTGTTACACCTCCAAGCTATAGAAAATACCACTGCCAGATCAGTAATGTGCTTCAGTGCTCTTATTTTATACTCTTTACACTGGCTTCCTGCAGATTTTAGAAGTCATTTTTAAATTATTTTACATATATATAAATATATATTTTAATTCCCGTCTCGCCCCTGTGGGCGGTCTACCCTTGAAGCTCGGGGTGACGGAGCTTTTCAGCACAAAGACTTTGTTCAGCTGACTCTATGGACTCAAAGTCCTTACAAACATTTTTATTTCTTTATTCTGTTTTGTTTGAATTTATTTTTTTCTGTATTTTTCCTTGTTTTGTTTTTTTTATTTTATTAACTGTATTTCCTATGAGTTTATTGTCATTATTCCTGTCGTTTTCATTTGTGATGCACAGCGCTTTGTGACTACATGTCTGTGAAAAACACTTTATATTTGCTTCCTGGTGATCTGTTCAGAACCACATGTCTGTCATATTCACGTTTTCTGCTGCTTTAATCCTCCTGAACCTCTGTGTTGGTGCATGCTGTGCATCACCCGATCCTACAGTAACAGAGAAGTGTCAGGACAAGCTTGTGAGAGTCGTCTGCAATGCTGTTTGAAGGTTTCTGAGAAAGGTTTTTTTCACTTTTATGCGTCTTTTGCTGAAATAAATACACAAATCCAACGATCCCTCTGAAACCACAGTGAGACACATTTGATGAGATGGACTGGTTACCGTACTCCACTTTGTTACTTTTTGTCTGTGCCTGAAAACTAGTCACCACAGAAACTCTGACCCAGTTTCGTCTGTTGACACATCTACCAGTGCAGAGACTGGGCCCGTCTTTAGTGCGTCACCTGACTGACCCGAGCTGTCAGAAAGCCAAACCTACCAAACAATAATCAGGTTTCACAGCAACCCGCTCAACAACTGCCAGCTTTAGTTTACAGGTTTAGCAAACCCAGAGCACTCCTGACTGTTGGGAGCTGTTTATTCAATTTAGTCTCATCTTTAGAGTAAGAGACCAAACGTGCTGACCTCTGAGACCTCGACTCTATTAAGCCACACAAGCAGGTTAAAAGCTTCATTTATCTGTTAGGTTTTAACTCTCCTTAGACCAGGAATCAACAATGTTTGCAATAGATTTAAGGCGAGTACTGGCATGTAGCACTTTACATCATCATTACATCTAATACTTTGGATGTTTTTACAAAATGTGCTGCCATCCACCAACATTCACTGAGTTGTACAAACGTTTCTCATCCAGCATCATTATCAGCACTGATTTACCGCACGCCCCGACTAAAGTCCCACTTACCTGCCGCTGAATATGCCACCGACAGTCAATTTAAATCTCCTGCACTGAAACCAACCTTGGATTTGTCTGAGTCTCTGAACATTTGATTATAATTTTTAATTTAAGTCTGACACAAAGCCATGACAAGAACATGAAAGTGTAAGGCCGGCCACGCCCTGATGCGGAGTGTATTTCATGGGGTGTATTTCACATTTCAAATCCAAAAATATGAGTCTGCTAATCTGCTGATGTCAGCGTTCAGTTCAACATACAGTCAGTGTAGATCACGCTGATCCTAAATGAAATGAAAACCAATAATGCATCACGTAGAAGTTCTTTATGATCAGTTCGCTCTTTACCCAAGAATCCGTCTTATCAACAGTGGGGTGATCTGTGCCACGCCCTGTTTCTACGAAACCATAGAGGAAGTGGGTCATGTGACCGCAACCATTTTCCTCATCCTGCAGAGAGGAGAGCCTCATTGCACAAGAATGAAGCACATAGAAGTTCAAAAACTTACTTTGAAAGGCAACAAAATCAAACTTTTGTTTTGTGTGAACAGTTACAGATGAAATGTTTTAGCGCTCTGTAAGCTGCACTATGAGTAACTCAAACAAGTCCAGACTCTTTTTTTCTTTCCGGGCTCCTTAGACTGTGATGACTGAGAACCTTCACAGACATATTTAACCTAACTGTGATTGCTACACAAAACCAGATCCTACAACTACACTGGATGGTTACCGCACACCGGGGGCAGGTTGTGCCACAAAACCACTTTGTTTCGGATCCACAGTGATTGTTCCCACACGCACAACATCCTGAAATACATGTTTTAGTTGGAAACATGACTGTCATTGCCTCGCTTTAAAGTCACTTTAAGTAAAAACTGGCACAGCACAGCCAGCTTTGATGTTTAACAATAGCTCCCTGACAAATCACACGAATCACACTGACAGATGAAATCTTTGGAACATGGAGGAATCTGCTTCAACGGTCCGCATCGAGAGTTTTTAGATTCCACCGATGGACGTTAGGAACGACACGATGTGCGCTCTATTGTCCTTTCCAAATATCAGCCGAGCGTGCGTGCTATGTGACCTTTCCTACAGCCAACATTAATTTGATCCATTACTTGTCAGGCAGGCCAGCGATTGTATTGTCATCCATCACAATGTGTGTCCTCCTGCTTCATATAGCTACAATGACCAAACCAGTGGGTGTGGCCACGTCCTAACATTTAGGTTTATTGTCCAAACTCGCTTTGGTGAAGGGAACAAAATGTTTTACCCAGCTAATTACATGGAGTCACATCCATGGGGGCAGATTTGTTAATGACATATTTCAACATTGAATAGCACGGTGCACACAGAAGACTGACGTATCCCGTTCTTGAGTTGTGCTAAAATCATGAATTCTGCCCCAGCTTTACAGATGAACATAAATTTTAAAGATTACAATCAGTATTACAGAGTAAAGTGTTTTCCTGAGCAGATGAAGATCCGACAGGATTAAACCCCCCAGATTGCAAAGACACTTTTCTGCCTTTGAATTTTTGGAGGTGCACAAAGTGAGGGAGATATTTCTGATGTGGTCCTTTCAGCTCGTGCTGTGTGCACACAAACCTTCCCACCTGCAGCCAATCAGAAGAAAGTTGGTTCAAACTCTGAAGAGCCAACAAAGCTAAAAAGGCTCGTTTCACTTGATGAAATTAGAATAAGAATAATTCCACCCTGAAGTAAAAGCAGAGTAATATGTCAGAGTCCATTTGTCACTATTGTTTATGAACAGTAGCCCATCACAGACTCATCTGTGGGACTGGCTCATAGACTTGCTGGACAACAACATGTTGTGAGGAGACGTCTGCATCTTATTTGCCTGAGCTCTGCACTCTGCCTTCTCCTGTGCAGGCTGACGCCATTCAAATTAAACAGATCACGAGTTTTCACGCAGTGCTGCAGTCACTGTGAACGCACACTTAGAAGTAGCAGGTTTAACTTTGCCAAGCTTGACAATGGCACTAAAGTTGTGGTTTGCAGAGGTCACAGTTAATAAGTTTGCACACTTGGGGGACACAGTCAAAGGCCACCAAACGTTAATGCAGGGAAATGCTTGGAAACATGTTGTGCAGCCTTGTCACCTATACTGGAACAAAATACAGTCAGGGCTTCCCTCTCCGCACCATGACAGCACTCGTGTACCCACCCTGACCCGAGCCTCGGTGAGGTTGGTCCATACTGCAATCTCCTCTCTGGTGCTCATGTCAGGGTAGCGGTTCCTCTGAAAGGTGGCCTCCAGTTCCTGCAGCTGCTGGCTAGTGAAGTGTGTTCTCTGCCGCCGCTGCTTCTTCTTCAGAGAGCCGTCCTCGGCGCTGGACTCGTCCAGCTGGTTCTGCTGGGATTTCTCTGTGTCTACAGACACACAGGGTATAACACATTGCATGAGACACAAGGAGGAAGTGACAGCAACGACTCTATAGACCAGGGGTGCCCAATCCCGGTCCTCGAGAGCTACCGTCCTGCAGCTTTTAGATGCATCCTTGTTCCCACACACCTGAATCAAATGAATGGCTTGTTATCAGGCCTTTGCCAAACATGATGGCATGCTGAAGAGGTAATCAAACCATTTGATTCAGCTGTGTTGGAGTAGGGATGCATCTAAAAGCTGCAGGATAGTAGCTCTCGAGGACTGGGATTGGGCAGCCCTGCTATAGACTATCAAACGGCTGGTCGTGAAGGTTCATACATGACTGTACAGTAATGATTAGAATTAAACATACCCGTTTTTTAAAAGGAAGAAACATGCATATAACTGCATGTTGCCGTGGCTGACGATGCAAATCAGCTCACAGTCATAACTGTACTCTACTCAAGACCACATGAAAGCAGCTGTGGACACAGTGACTCAGATTTCTGTCATATGTTCGCTGTAAGTAATAAAGGCCAATAAAACTGATCAGCATTAATCAACAAATCCATAAGAAGTCATTTAACACCAACTACACCTGCTGTACATCACTGTAATCAGCACCACACCTACAAGGAGGAACTCGTTTCTCAAATAACAGAAATGTGTAAATATGTATAAAACATTTATTGACTGTAACCTTTAAGTAAAATACATGAAAACAAGAGTGTTTGCTGGTTTCTCAGTTCATTCAGCATCTATGCTTTTCTGACTCGTACTCAGGAAGTTAACAAATGGTTTTCATTTTATACCCACAGTCATCTCATTTATAACTGGTAAATGGTGGTCACATGGTACCTTTCAAGTAAAGGTCATCCAGTCATACATACAGTCATGTCCCTCCTACATCCATGTCTAAGTACTCTCTAATACTCAAACACTGAGTGAGAGGCTACAGGAGGAGTCAGGCTTCAAGCACCCATCTGACTGGACCCATTTAACCATTATACCAGTGCAAACAGATCCAGTTTTGTTATGCAGTAAAGTTAACATGTGCAAATTAACGTGCAAATTTTAAATTTGTATAAATTATGAAACAAAGTGGTTTTATGTAGATAAATCTGAAGTGTTTTCACTTTAAGTAATGTCACAAAACTAACATGCAAGCTGACGTCCGAGTAACACAGAAACAGACTTTAACATCAGTGATATTTGTTATAGTCATATTGTGTGTTAAATAGTTGGCAGAAGCAGTGTTAATGTTTTTATTTGTTGTTGTTTTCTTTTTTGTGATATTTACAAACTGCTCTTCCTGTTGTATAAATGCCCCGGATCATAAAAATAAAGTGTTCCTCTGGAAGTGTGCGTGAACATAAGGAGTGCCGCGGCCCGGCTCTGTTCGGACTTGTATTCCTGACATTCAGAGTCCGTTCCATGTTGTGATTACAGAGGCCATCCCTGCCTGTGCTTCTGTTATCATACTTCCACGTCTTACTTTGTGTTTGGTTAAGTGCTCTCGGGGTTCCCTTGCTCCTGTGTCACTTCTCTTGTATTTAGTCTGTTCACGTGTATCCGTCTCCAGAAGTCTGTTTGTTTACCTTTTTGTCCATGCCGAGCTCGTGCGTTTCCTGTTTTATTTTGATAGTCCCTGTTTCCGTGTGTGTCACACTGGGCTTTGGCTTTCTTGGCTCATTAGTGGATTGTGTCCCCCAGGTGTTTTCTCTGCGCCCTTACCTTTCCTCTGTTCCTTGTCGTGTCCTTACACCCAGGCTGTGCTGTGTGTGCTTCTGTTCTTACTGTTCCCAGTTCGGTTTATGCCTGAGTTTTGGGTTTCCTGCATCCTAAAGCTTCAGCAGTACAGCTGCTGTTTCAGGGTTGCTGCTGGGTTGTCGCACAGCAACCACGCATCACTTCCATGACCATCTCTGCATTTGAACTTGTGTATTTTTGATGCGCTTCCAGCATCCATTAATAATCATTAAGAAAAGATTGAGAGTGAAAAACCACAGGAAATGTACTTTATTATTTTATAAACATGTCCTACTTGTTTGAATATAGACACCAGAAAAACTGAACACTCAGGTTCTTTTCTGGGAAATCATCCGAATGCCGTAGGACAGTGATTTCCCAAAATGGGGATTTTGCTGGCTTCGGAGAGAGCTAGAGACACTGGAAACATTTTTCTGACACCTTTCATGCTGGATGGCTCCGGCACTATCCAGACCAGCTGAAACGGACTGGATAATAATGTGAGAGAATCATCAGATGGTATCGCTCTGTCCCAGAACGTAACATCGTGTTGCCTGCAGGGAATGCCTGCAAACAGTGCATTATGGTCAGAGATGTGCAGGAGAACAGAGTGATTGCATTTCGCCCCCAGTGCAGTGTTTAAGGGACTGCATGTTATGTCTGCCAGGCCTCCTCTCTGACAGATCTGACTCCTGCAATTTGAGGACCTCACAGAAAGAAGTGAAATTAGTTGGCCAGTTAATCCTGTGGATCAGGCTTTTGTGACGAGGGCAGGTTGGGCTCTGTTTAGTGAGGGCTTAGCTCTCTGGGAGCAGTTCAAAATGATCAGCAGGGTTTAAAAGCAGGCTCCAAGGGACCACCGACCAAATGAATAAGCTGAAGCTGCTATCTGGCAGTAAACTGACACTGGGTAAGCTGTCACTTAAGGCCAGAATCTATAACACAATACGGACGAAAGGGCAGCGACTTTTAGAGTAATGCAGCGACGGACAATAGGAGCAATCGGACTGATAATGTGCCGACATGACAAAGTCCTTCAGGTCAGCCTCTCTGAGATTTTAATACGGAAAACAACTTCAAGAAGCTTTTAACCAAATTACTTTTCAACAGCTGGAAAAAAAACAAAGAGCAAGATGCATTCACAGAAAGAAGAAAAGGACATGAGCTGCTAAACGTAGACGAGTCCAGATCCCAGCTTTCAGAAGCCAGTCAGCTTTTACAGGAGTGGAGCCTTTTATCCAGAGAGAAAGCGTCCAGTAGCACCGCACACTCGTTCAGTTACGCCTGCAGCATAGGCGTCAGCTCGGTGTGGTGAGCTGTGGCAACCTATTCTCCAGAATAACAGAGCTTAAGGTTGTATGTTTTGTTCATGATCACGTGAACATTAAACTGAAAGTAACACACACACGCATATGTATAAAATAGCCTGTGTTTCACGTGTGTGTGTGTGTGTGTGTGTGTGTGTGTGTGTGTGTGTGTGTGTGTGTGTGTGTGTGTGTGTGTGTGTTTGGTAAATGGAAGTTATGACATGTTTTATTGCAAAAGACAATTTCTTTAAACCAGACTTTAATGTTATTATTATTATAATTATTATTATTAGTCTTTTATTTATCCAGGTAAAAAATCTCATTGAGATTAAAATCTCATTTCCATGAGTGACCTGGCATCAATGTATTCATTGTTTATGAAGTAGAGTTATTTTGGGTTTTGATTGCGGAGTAAAGGCTTGTAATTCATAAATTGTGTGATTTAGATTTTGAACTTTAAACACTGAGTTTTACCTTCAAACTAAAAGCTTTCTTTGATTTATTATTATTATAATAAGCAGTTTTAACTGGATGAGAAATGTGACAGAAGCAGGAGAACAAAAGGCGACAGCAGGTGCTGCGGAGGGAGCGCCGCATTTCTCTTTAGAATAGCGCGTGTTTGACAGTTTGTTAGTGCCACGGATCTCGTGGCGGAGTGGAGCCATTAGATTGGGTTACACACACATAAACACACAGCCTCACGGCACTGACACGGACTGGCAGACGGGTGTCTGGGTTCAGATCAGACCTTAGAGAGCGGAGACGATGATTCTTATGTACGACCGGTCACGTCACGCAAGTCTGTGAAACGTATAAAAATTTCAGTGGGTTAATTTTTTTATAGCGAAGATGAGTGGCAGCTTCATCAAACACAGTTTGTTTCTCTGTAAGAACGGAACTGAAGCCGCCGCCTCTCGGTGTCCGTCCGTCTCACGGTCACGTAGAAATTGGCGGAAGAGTTGACGGGAAGCTGTTCTTCGTCGCTTTGGTGATTAAACACAGAAATGTGGCGACGGCCGCAACTTTTCCAGGTTTCTCGCTTGTAAAGAGCGCGCGATCCTGGCGCCGGTCCGGTGCGCGTCCACGGCGAGAATTACGTTTGATTGTTCGGCGGTTCATTTTCATATTCAAAGTCGGATTGAGCGACGTTTGATTAGAGCTTATCATCGGCCTGAGTTTGGGCCTAGAGAGTCTGCGCCGACACAAATCACCCGCAAATGAAAAAGGCTCAGAATGTAATTCCACTCGCAGCATAACACTCCGAGCCTTTCTTCACTTCTGTAATGACATTACACTCGAGGTCAGCAGACACAACAGCCCGCAGAAAAAGCAGAAAACCACCAGTTTCTTTTCCAGTCATCTTCACGGGAATATCATCTCGCTGTTAGAGTCAACTAATAAACCATTTAGTCGTACATTTGCGCAGTGCATCAGTCATGTGACAGACAGAGATCAGACTGACCGCTCTGGTCCAGGCCTTTACATCCCGGGTCATGCTGCGGGGTCCCGGAGTCTGAGAGCGACAGCGCCGGGCTGCGGGGATCACCGTCCGTCAGAAGGTTAAAATCCATAACCAGGCTCTGCACACAGACACACACGGAGCGAAAGACACGGTCAGAACACTTTTCACCACCTGCAGTCAGCATAAAGAAAGAAACAGCGGCCTAAAGGTCAGCGACCACAATTATCATCTGATAAATCTACAATTCTACCAACAGAAAGACGATTTTACCTTTTTAAATATTTTATTTCCAAGAACATTTTCATCATTTTGTAATATTGTTACTTTATTGTTTGCAGTGTTGATTTCAGATGATTATCCTTCTTTAATATTGTCTTACTGCAGGGACAGTCGTAACTCCGTTCAAACATTTATCCATGTTTTCTCCAGTTTTATATTTATGACTCATGTCCAGCTGCCATAATCCATACAGAGCTGATAAAATACTCATGTTACCAACATCATGTGTTGTGCACAACTCCTTTCTTTAATGTAAAAAAGAAGGGACTGAGTTTTCATAATCGTGAAAAATTCAAAAATATTATCAAATACTCTGACTTGAAGTGCATCAAATCAAACACACAGTGTGGTTCATCATGTGCATACAATCATCTTTGCATCTGAGGATCACCTGACGTCTTTGTATCACCCTCTGAATCACAGTGTTTCATGTGGGTCTGTGTGTATTTGTTGTACTTGTCGATACATGCTCTCTTCTCTCTCCAAGCTTTCCTTTCACACTCGGTTGTGGTTATGATTATGATCCCCTGTATAGAAGGCTGACACAAGCAGCTATAAGTAGACCTGCCTTGAATTGGCTCTATTTTGGGACACACAGGGAGCGCTGTAGAGGTCTGGCTGTAAAACACACTATGACATTTCCAAGACAAACTTAAGACAGTGAGGTCAAAGTGTCGGTCACTGTTTTATTAATCTGAAAGCAGCTGATTTTGAAAATGCAGTTATAGAAACGATGGGATGATTTGTGGCTTTGAGGTGAAAATCGGATTTGGTTTAATCACAAAATGCTGGTTCAGAAATGAAGCCAGTAGAAACGGTTCTGAAGCGAGCGGATCAGTGCAGGCTCATCGATGTTACTGTCAGCTGCAAGGTGCTGGATTCAATCAAATCAAAGAAAAGGGAATCAAAGGGATAAAGACCCACCCTAAACTCAGCACGGTGCCAATGTTTACTCGTCTTTTTGATTGACTTTGCATTTTCCACGTTCGGTTAGTGAGTGAAAATTCAGAGCAGGTCTTGAGGCTACTGTCAGCGAATCCATGTCATCAGAGGTTTAAAAAGATGATACGGCTGCTCCCCGTTTGATGTTGCCAGTGTCTGTGTGTAGTTAACGTTGTGGTTACAAGCTTTATACTTAGAAGCAGCACATTTAGATTTCCAGGCGAACGGGTATTTGTGACCCCCACCTCTCGTCAGCCCCTCCATCACGAATGTGTTTCCCTGTCCTCTGTTTGCCACTATGCCAGGCCTGACATTCTGCTAGAGTTAAATCAGAGGGCTCGGACTCCGGTGTTGCATCAAAGACCACCATCCCACTGCTAACATGGATTAAACACTATCCCCTGTTTTATGGTAGGAATTCATTAAAAGCAATGGCCTGAAAAGAAGTTTGAGAAAAGGGCTCAAAGTTGTTCTGACCTTTTTGTCAAAATGAAATGGTTATCCTGACCGGACTGGTCTCTTCCAGGAGGACCGTGCCTCCATCCATATGATGTGATGGCTCACTTAATGCTTAATGCAGATGAAAATGATCTGAATCGCGTGTTATGGTCATTACAGTCGCTCCATCTGGAGTCAGTTAAACAGCTACAGGAGATTTTAGACCAGCGTGGCAGACATTACGCTCTACTATCAAACACTAAACGAGCAAGATGAAGTTCCAGCTCCCAGGAGAGCTTCATCTTTACAATAAGGAGCACTGAAGAAATCTGGGTGTGTGTGGTGGCTCAACATGTAGCAATGGCTTTCTTTTAATTTGTCACTCATCTATACCCTACTCTTGAAATATGGGAGGTAGAACCAGTGACCACATAGAGTTTTTCTTGTTTTGTCTTTATTCTATTGTTCTAATCCGTTTCTCTTGGCAGAAATGCCCTAAAGAGTCTATGCAAATATTTGTAGCTCCATGCAAAGCACACCTAAAGACTCCTACAGAGAGGACATAAAGTCCTAATATTTAGAGGTCAGCTTAATAAGACAAAATCAAGTAAGAATACTAAATGTAATCCCAGAAAGAACCACACAACGCCAAACTCAGCCTGACAAATGCAAATGTCCTCCACTAACGTTCACAGAACAAATGCTGTTTGGCACAACAACACACAAAAACATACAACTGCATTTTCTTCCTGCTCCCTCTTCACATCGTGTCAGCGGGTGTGATGCTGCGCTGAGGCCCACCTACATGTTGTGATGAAAGGTGTGCGACATGTGCCACATCTGAATCAACGTTTTCTTCCACTTCTGTTTCTCAGCCTTTAAAAAGCACGTTCGTGTGATCACCACCAACATTTGCTACACTTCAGAGAAAAAAAGACTTGAGTCTCTTTTTTTTATTGAGCATCCGTGACAATGGTGACAACATTTCACAACAGACGGGAAAATGAGCACTGCGTGGAAGCTACTGCTGGATCCCGGGGGTGGGGGGCGAGACCTCAGTGCTTTGGATTAATGACTCTGACATGGACGGTGGGTTAAAAAGATCAGTTACTGTTTTATTTTCCAACTTTTCTTTAACGGGATGACTTAACAACGACAAACACACACTTTTACATTCAAGGCCCATCTATAGGCTTCACTGTAAAAGTCAAACAAAAGCAGCAAAAACTGCAACAAGATATGAATTCAGGCAATCAGCTTATATGATAATGAACTCTTTTCATTTGAAAAGCAGACCATCAATGGATGTTTACCTTTGCGCTGGATTGTTGTTGAGCCACTTCTCTGTTTTAAAGCTAACAGCCCTCCACAGACGCCACTTAAACGGCGATGGACTCGACAGAGCAACAGCCGCCCAGGTTTAGTATCAGCAAGGTCCGGTATTTTGGCCAGAAATGACAGTGAGCTAGTTTGGGGCACTATATCCGCCGTGGCAGTGATGGATGGACGCGGGGCCTGCTGTCAATGTGGTGCTGAGAGGCCCGAGAGGCCGGCTGGCTCGGCAGTGAGGGCGAGTGCGGGTGATGCAAGCCAGTCATTTTGTCCAAAACAACGTGCCACAGCCCCACCCACCAGCACTCACACACACTTTCTCATGAAGGGCTCGATTATATTTGTAAACTCAAAAGCCCTCATCCTCCCTCCCTGCTCAGTATGTCCAACAAACTATCACCGAGCTAACGAGCAGGCCGGGCCTCAGCAGCTGACAGTGTGACTAATCACTGACCGCACAGCCTCCCGTGACCGAACCACTGAGCTGAGCAGACTTTTTCACGGATCTTACCTCTGCTTCCTAACACAGACCGCGGCTCTTTCCTGGAGCACACTCGAACCTCTACCTCAGCTTTGAAACAAAGCCTAAAACACGGGTAATCTGGAGGAGGCGGGCGGGGGTCCTGCTAGGAAGTAAACGCAAATCAACAGTTTGCATGAGCAGAAGCGCTTTGCATGAGTAGCAGCCTGGTGACATCGAGCTCAAAGCATATATCTGCTGACGATAATACAATAAATACTTGTGAAAAAGTGGAATCCTCTCATTTCTGCAGTTCTGGCGGTCCATCTGGCAGTGCGCGCGGCGGCGTGCTTGCATTTCCACGGACAGCAGGCATTAGCCCGGGAATTATTCATAAACGCGTTGAGAATTAATTCCTGGGATTAAGAGTTGATTAAGATGTGTGTCACTTTGCTGTCTGAGAACTTATTAAGGGCCTCCTCCTCCTAAGAGGCGGCAGATGGAATTTCGGTCCAATGTTTGTAGATGTTAATTTCTGCCCTCCTATAACAGCCATTTGCATATGATTGAGGGAGCGAGGCCGATGAAGTCCTGCAGCAGAATCACGGAGGAATAATTGGTTGGGCGAGCCAATAGAAGCTCTCGACAGTGATCAGTACAGAGCGTTTCCACATCAAGAATTTATTAGGCCCGATAAAAAATGCATTTCACCCATTCAGCTCAGTCTGCGAAGCAACTTTAGTTAACAGAAATTCAGACCTGCAGGAGAATACTAAACACTCGCGATTTTATTCACAGACTGCCGGGTTAAGTCCCGCGCGTGAATATGGGTCCATTTATAACTAAAGGTTGTGTTTGAAAGTCAGTCTGCAGGGATGGAAGAGCACAGTGTGCGATCTGCTTCTTATTATTAGATGGAGCACAAATGACAGTCAACTCCAAGTCTGTATTATTATTATTATTATTATTATTGTTATTGTTATTATTGTTATTGTTATTGTTATTGTTATTGTTATTATTATTATTATTATTAGTAGTAGTAGTAGTAGTAGTAGTAGTAGTAGTATTAGTATTATTGTTATTATTATTATTGTTATTATTAGTATTAGTATTATTGTTATTATTATTATTGTTATTATTAGTATTAGTATTATTGTTGTTGTTGCTGTTATTGTTATTATTACTTCGACAGATCACAAAAGTAATGTAAACATGTTGATACGTCATTATGCTGGAACCTTGGCCTCTCAGCGGAGCACCTCGGCCCTCGGCTGGGTGTAAAATATTTCCATTGTGCCCTGAGGCCAAACGTGAACTTCGATTAAACAAATTCAAGTAAGTATTTTCATATGTCCGGATCTGAAAACATATGCAAAAAAGGCTATAAAGTACAGGCCTGCAGGGGCAACGCTAAGATGGTCATTTATAAATTTAAAAAAGAACAATCGCTTTGATTTTCATGTTTATAATGATAACAACAACAACAACAATAATAATAATAACAATAAAAATAATAATATGAGCAGCGCCAGCTTCCGAGTTTATAGTGATCGAACATTTTGATCTGTTTATTCTGTAGTGACAGTTTCACGCTCTTTCCCTTTTTTTGTTATTTTAAAGGAATTAAACAAAATTATTTTGTGGAATAATAATAATAATAATAATAATAATAATAATAATAATAATAACAAT